TGCGACCGCTAAACTGAATTCAATTCGATCAGCACTGTTCCCTGCGCGTTACCGCCAAGGCACAGCTGATCGTGGTTGTCCTCGTCCGCGTTGTCAGGCTCGTGTACTGCTTAGGTCTCCCCTAGTGTAGTCCGGATAACCAGCATACAGCACCGATTTGTCAACCTCCGCGCGGGTGGGAGACGGTTCAGATGTGCCTCGGTCACACACACACACACACACACCAATTCCCATGATATCTATCTTGGTTGTTTCCCTTGGTAGCAATCGTGCACGTTTGTGCGTACATGCATGGTTGTCACCCGTAGTCTGGTTGGCACTGACAACTAATGCATCATAAGCGATCAACGCTTGAGCCATTGATTGTGCCCATTGCACGAGGCTGAAATCGGATAGATGAGCAATATCTCAAGCCGCTGCTACTGCTGCTGCTCTGAAATTCGACAAATGTCATCTCGGGCAAAATGTATACCGAAATTCACCTAGACCCGATCTTGCTAGTTTACTCACATAAAAAGACTAACAAATGAACTTCTCCTCAACCTTGGACTATGAAATATCCCTGTCTGTAAACAACTTTTCCGCGTTGAATATGGTCTCAGTGACAGATTAAATAATCTCAACGTGATAAACACAGACTTTATCAAGTATGAAAAAGCAATATTTTCTAATATTAATGACACAAGAACTATCCTAAAATATCTCTATAAATCCTTGCCATCTCGGTTATTTGTTATGAGGCATCATTTTATCTAATATATAATCCATTATAGCAATTCTATCGGATAACCAAATGAAATTCTTTCACAACCCGGAGAAATTGCATTAAATAAGGTTTCATAATAATAATTGATGTTTTATATCTAGCTCACTAAATTCGAGAAATACCACTTCAGTCAAAGTCAACCTTGAAATCAAGGTCATTTTTGTGCACAGCTTTGAATGTTCGTATTGGTGTCACTATGATGAGATCGTGAGAGCATGTGTGCGTGAGAGAATGTGCTCTTGCTCACTTACGGAGTAATGGCGGCGCTATGTGACAGCTCCGACTGGCGCACAAAAAGGGAACGAATGTCTGCATTACTTTTGCTATGCTTCTCTCGTTACCTTCTGGGGGAATCATAGTACCGTCAAACCAACCCACCGTATCCTCAGAAAATACATCTACCGCGTAGGACCTATGCTATGCCTATCAGATCAAACATACGCCACTAGCTAGAGTGAGCGAACTTATGAACGTACTTCGTGAAATCGTTTCAGAGTTGTTGGGGTAGTCACCTTCTTCATGGATGTACAAACCTTCACTGTTAGAATGAATGATTATCACTATTTCTTGTGGCCTGAGTAGCACAGCACTTGATTTCAACTGATCAGATTAGTAAGTTGAATGCTGCTCAAAACGAATCGATGATTTTAATTACAGTGTTCAGGGCTATATCATGGACAAAAACCAATGCAATCACAACACTGTGCTCAACGCAACCACTAAACCTAAATCTGTTATTGTTTGTTTTCTACTCTAACCATTTAGCTGCACTCGTTTGGTCTGAGCGAAATTTTCCTAGCTTTAGTCACAAAAAAACGCAATCCTTTGACCTTGACTCGTGATACTTTAACCTTGACCCGTAATCCTTTAACCTTGACACCATACTTTAGCCATACCGCTGTAGGCGGTTCAGATGAAAACGTATCAGAATATACCCTGAAGTACATAAATGTTGAAACTTTTGAATAAAACAAGTAACACAATACGAACAGAATTGATATTGGCCATCAATTTCGCGTGCTCTCAATCAGCTGTCTACGCACAATAAATAGGTCAAATTTTTAGAGTTAGACATGGTTACGTAATACGAAAAAGATACAACCAGAAATAAATTCGAATAGACACAGAAAGTTAACCGAGTAAAAAATTGGTCAATGAAGTAGGTCAAAGAGAGTTACTTAATAAGAAAATGAGAAGGCTGGAGGGTCAACGACGATGTAAGAGAACGGTTGAGATGATAGGAAGGAAAGGGGTGGGGAATTACCATGGTACTAACAACTGCATCACAAAGACCTTATGCACGCATAGGTCAGGCTTTAAACGGCTAATGACAACCGCTTCAGCAAACCTAAGCATCCTTGGGCTTCGAACTTTGAGCACAACGCGAAAAGCTTTGTGTTTGTCGATGCAGTGTCCGGTATCGAGCAAATGTCATGCCACTGCGCTTGCTGGAAGCTTTCCTCCCCTAAGTGGTAAGTTATTCGGAACATGCTCACTCATTCTGGTCGACAGTCGGCGTTCAGTCCTTCCGACGTACTACGAACCACAAGTACATTGAAAAAGATAAATGCAATTGGAGGTGACCGAATCATTGGATCTGTCTATGTTTGACCGCATTAATGAGTTCATTGTTCTGTGATGATGATGATGATCAGCTTCGCGGCAGGATAGGTGGAGTCAACTGTAGTACGAAGCCGACGACCAACCCGTGCAATTACATCGTCTACTTTAAATGGTACACCAATGAAAACTGGTTTCTTGGAATGTTGAAACATTTGATTTTCTACAAATGTTGATATTAAAAAGCTTGGTTAAGAAATAAGGTGTAGCGATCTCATGCTACACCACATGTTGGTTAGAGAAGGTTCAAACGATGTGCCCATATCGTAAAACCATTTCACACAGCTTCAGTGTTTCCCTATGACATGCTATACTCCTGTGAGTAAAGACCTCAGGTGAATCAGAAACGGTACATTGTTTTTGCATTCGCAAGTCCTCACATGAATTAAAATGTGATACCACAAAAATTGAATGCTTATCGCTTCGTATCTTCACTTAAAGTGAACTCTGTTCAATAGAGTTGGATACGTTTACCAATCGAGGATAATAAACATCGTTCACAAATTACACTTACATTAGTATCATCAGTTTATTCACGCTGTAACATGTGACATCATTACGATGATCGAGACTTAAAAATTACAAGTTTCACCTTAAGCTTGATGGGAAAAGGTGTTGTGTCATATGGTTCATTGGACAGTGTCATACACTATAGTCGCCTATTATTTAGTGAGACCGGGACTAATCATTATGAGCTCCCACGCCACCACCACCAGCAATACAGTGATCACTATCTTATCCACGACCTGCCCGATAGCGCTCGGATTTCCTAACCGTGGTAGAGACTGTCAATGGCCCGGTTTCACACTGTGTGGACTCTCATCACGTATCACAACTGGGATTGAAGTCAAGTGAGATTTCGTATTCTGATCAGAATGGAGACTGTCAGAAACTCACAAAACCCGTTTGCTCGTACGCCTAATTCTGCTCGGTCGGATTCCTATCACGTGACTGAAAGTTCTAAAGCACCCAAACAGGTGGTAATTAGCACTGGGTGAAAACTCACATCCAAAGTAGAGAATAATTACAAGTAAAATCTACACACGCTTGCAGATCCCAACTGTGGCTTTAACACCACGATGACATAAAATGCTATTATTGATACCTTTTATATCTCCTGGTAATCATGCAATCTCAGTGTGCCACAAAGACACGCCTCAGAAACACAATANAATATACCTGTAGTAGTCGAAGTAGGTGCAGATCACGAATCATGAATTACGAATCACAAATCACGGACGAAATTGTTGCATCGAATCACACTAGTACTTGTACGCCTGAATGTCCTGTCACCGAGGTGCAAGGAAAAGCTCACAGAATTAGTAATTCGTTTATTGAAAGAAATTAGAGGGATAAAATAACATGTACGAAGGAAGTTTATTGGTTATACAGATACCCACCAATCGTCTGATTGACGTCATACAACTTCTGTCTGGACCTTACAACTTCCGATTGGTCGGCACTATTGGCCTGTGGTTCGTTGTCCAGAAACTGTAACGCGTGAGTGCTTGGCTAGTGTCAACTTGGATGTTTGACTCATCATAGCTGTTCAGAAACTCTAACGTGTCGTTCCATGGCTGGCGTTATCCCGTAGACTAGGATCGCCACAACAACTTACTTTATTCACCTAAGTTCCAAGCATCTGAATATTGGGGATGTCACATCCATCCTAGTCCACCCCCGATCAAAAAACTGTGTGAACATTATTTCTGGGCAATAATAAATATTTTTTTTCGTTAGTTTTCTGTGAGTTGACATGACTGGAGCACGGAATTTCTGTTTGCAATTTCGCATCCATCATTGGTGTAGCACGAGCTGGAAATCGGAAGGAGACGGGGGCGGTCCCCCCCCTGCCCACGATATGCTCACACTCACCATGTCGTGACAATTCACCATTTTTTTTTGGCGGTCTATACGAAAGAAATAAGGTGATAAATACTAGTCGACGTTGATCCACATAAGTTGTCAGAGTAATACAATACAAGAGAATAATTTATTCTCGCGCTCATAGTGAAAAACGGCAAACAGATCAGACATGGTTGAAAATTTGATCGGTGATCATCAATGACCAGCTAGCTGTAGACGGAAAAAAATATTATACCATATAATGGGAATGTAATGCAATTTCAAACAGAGCCGTATTATGTATGGTGTCACGAATAACAGCTCATTCTAATCGGGTTGCAAATGACTTTCTGTCGATCAATCGATTGCCCTCAGCAATTTGCTAACCTGCTTGTGTTTTTTCTCCTAATCAATTACTTCCACATCATTTCAAGAATGCTATCTCATAGTTCAGTGAATTATACGTTCTTTTTGTCTGGTTATAATCAGACCAAGATATATTTCCTGATATCGTAGACATGGAACCAATCAATCATCGAAGTTAGCCCGCTTTTTCACGGTCGTGTAACTTATTCGGCGCCAGCTTGTTCACTAATGCATCTACTAACCAGTTCAAATTAATTTATTGCTCACGGCGATTTCCAGTATTCTACCTGGTCGCTCTCCCCTCCTCCACTATGCCGGAGAAAAAGTATCTGTGTCATTTCTGTACTTTGGAGATGCTAATTCATGAAATGTACCTCCGGGTTTTTTTTCTAAAATTTTTCAGCAAGCAAAATTAGCCACAAGCGAAGGATCTCAAATGAATCTGCGACAAGTCTATCATCCAGCCGCATTGCAACTGAAAATTCAAGTAAGTTGCTTCGATTTTCCGCCTGCCCTCATACAACCTTGCCTTCCAATGGGATGCTCAGAGTTTGCTTCCTCCCTCCCCGGTCAAGAAACTTAACTGAACCAACACAGATTTGAAAGTGAATATTACTCGGACCGCTTTGTTCTTACTCCCAAAGGAATCGAATGACCGCTAGTAGCACTCCACATGTATACAAGTTCCATCGCGTGATTGAAGGGAACAGTATTTCCGCCGCCCACTTGACTCTTGTCCCTCATGAAACAGATGCAAAGATGCAAATAACAATACTCCGTACCACGCACACTGATCAATATGCTCACCCCGTAAATGAAAATGTCTATCAGTTGAGGCACTAAAATAAATTCACATTAAAATCCCGTTCACTCGTTTCAATTTGGCGGAAACGTTACGATCAGATTAGACTGTTTGGGAGGACAGTATCTGTTTGACTTAAGCTGTTGTAACATGTCGAATTTTACATTGGTGAACGTATGAAACAAAATCCGGTAAAGAGATGTCATTCTGTTCTGAACTCACACACATGATCCATGGAATCACGATACAAAACGTCGATGGGAATGCTTCGTTCGGCTTAGTGAGATACGAGAGGGGGGGAAGGGGTAGTTGAGAGTTAAGGTAACCAGCAAAAGCAGCAGTGGTAAAAAAAATAGCAATCACAAACACCACCAAAACGCGTAGTTCGTGAATCCGATTTGGTGAATTCAACCCTTTATCAGAATATGTTTTACTCTACCATCACTCACCCATCCCATTCGTTCGTTCCCGTTCCAGCTGGGTTGTCAGCATGCAAATGACATTTAGTTCCCATTCGTCAACGCAAAATCTGCGGTTGATGGATGTGATTAGGGGGGACAGTAATGACTTGTGTGTTTCAAACTGTTTTACTCATTGCAATTCACTGATCTCTGTCTGGAAAGCACAGGAAAAAAAGAGGGCGAGTGACAACCGCGTTGTAAGACTTCCGTTCACACACACACACACACACACACACGGTTCTTTATCCGCGATATACCAAAATGCTCATTCATCTAACACAACTGGTGAAAACGACCGCCCAAATCTTGAAGTTCACTTCATTCACAATGGGTGGTATGCATAGGGAAGATCAACTAACATATTCACCCAAAAGGGACGGCATGGGGGTGGTAGAAGGAGTGAACACTCACTGCGATATGCATTGCAACATCCTTGGGTGACTCAAGAATTTTCAAAACAGATAGAGGATTTGTACAAAAAGCTAAAATTAACCATTTTCAAACTTTCTATCTCAATAGCTTGATCATTTTGTTATTTTAAAAAAATGACAGATATATCAATTGTTAAAATCTTCCTTGTCTGGAATAGACCGGATAACGATTTAGATAACACATCTATACAATAAATCCTTATTAGACTGTTCTGCTTCTCTTACAAAGTACCATCCACTGCTTCATACGATCTACATATTTTCTACACCTGTTAAAACTACGTTGATGATGCAACCCGATCCCAAATTGTTTGCGATTCTCCGTAACTTGAAAATTACTGTCGGCAATTATTCTTCCATGCCATTGGGACAGAATCGATCGATCACTACCACCAATAATGAGCCTCGTAAACAACGCATGTTTAAATTTGGAATAACTTTATGATATTTGCGATGATTTCTTCTTTAGATCTACAACAGGCCTACAGTAAAAACCCGTTAAAAATCTTTCCGTGACTTTCCTTATGTGCACTATATCACTGCATATAACATTTGTTTCAAGAAGCAAATAATTCGTAAAATAATTTATTTTTGACTCACAGTTACTTTTGAATGGTAGTGTGGGATAATCGATATTGATGTTAACTAGCCATCCGTGGGAGTTCACCCTTGAGCGCAGTTCTCAGTTGTTCCAGTCGACCGGAAGCACTAGACTCGAATTTCCCGATGGGTCCGAAATTCAAAGCCCGAACAGGACGGTGGACATGCACTACTGATGGGCTCTAATACGGGCGAAACTCGATTCTATAATGTCTACGAGTGTATAGTTGACTGAAAGAACTGAGAACTGTGTATGAGGTTGAAGTCTGACGTATGGTTAGTTCAGATCGATATCATTCAAATATTATCTTATCAAGGATTTTATTAACAGTTCAGTGTCAGTGGTGAAAAGTAAAATTGAGATCTTAGGGGCGATAATTTGCTTGTCGTTACGTCTTGAACACTGCCACGGATTCGTTCACCAATGTCATCTCGCCTGAGCCGAATTGGTGATGAACGTTGAGTTCATTGATTTGTTCTTCAAAGCGATGTGTAAAATCATTCTTTGATTTTTATTGGTCCCCAGCTTCGTTATAGCCCGTCCTCACCCACCTACCCCCTTCAGTATGAACCTGAAAGTCTTTGTGATCCCGTATCTCGAACATGCACGAATAAATCCGAACGTGAGGAGTTTTAAGAACCATGATTGAAATATACCTTCCCGCCCGGGCCGTTTGCCCACGATGTATCTGTCATATCTACATAGCGCAACACATTGAAGCATTCTTTTGTGACAAAACAGAGTATACGGTGAGAAAAGGTTGTGAGAAAAATAAAAACAAGCTTGTTCGCCAAGCCACGGATTGTGCTTTCGATGTATACCAACTGATTGGGTAGCATTGGTTAGGTAGTAAATCTCGTCGACTTCTCTCTTCTCAGTGATCATGTATTCGAACCCACCATGGTCACCTACCTTTCTGTATTTTACTGTCTCACTTTCCGTTGCCTGAAACTTGTTTGTACTATAAAAGAAATTAAAATATTTGGGGAGTGCTTGTCAATAGTTAATTAGTCATTTAATTGTCAATAGTTAACCAATTGTTAGTTAGTTAGTTGCCAATTGGGAGCTAATGTGCGATGCACTGATATAAAGCAATCAGTTTGAATTCGATCCGCAGCTCAGTTCATTTTTCTTCTTCGTCTGTAAAGCAATTTCTCACCGAAATGGAAGCGCGGAAACCTCAACTGGATCGAATCAGTGTGGAAAAAGAACGTCTGGTGGCATGGGACAGTGAGGAAGCATTGAATGGGGATTTTGCTACGCAAGGTGAGTATTTTGCTTTGTTGTATAGAAGCTTGCTCATATACTGCTGTATTATGATACCTAATAACCGAGGATGGTTCCTGGAGAGTGAATGAACCCATCAAGTGAAAATCGATATGGAAGGTGGATATCTGTTAAATGGATCGATAAAAACGTTAGCCTATTGTGGTATTTGTGGTCGCAAATTTGACGAGACCTTTTCTTCTTTTTTCTTTTAATTCTTTTTTTGTAATTTGATTGTGAAACGTTCAGTAGCCCCGGTGGGGTTCGAACCCACGCATGGACGCCGCCTACGCTTTGTATGCGCATGCAGCGTCCATGCGTGGGTTCGAGTCCTATTGAGGCTACTGAACTTTTTACAATTGACATACAAACTTTAAATCTGCCAAACAACAATTTGAACAATCATTTTTTTATTGAATATACAAAGAAGGGAGAAGCGGTCAATCAAATGACTGCCATTCACCACACAATCGGGCAAATGAGACAGCAGTGGTGGGATTCGAACACACATCCCCGGGGTGATAATTTGGTGACCAGACTGTGAATATGATAGAACACAGATTGAGAAAGTATGTTTTGGCCGAAGCGCTCAATTTTCGTCTACTTGGCAATGGGGGCAAACGGGAAAGCATGGTACGTAATGAGTTTTAGGTAATCAGTTGATTAAAGTCCAGACGCGAAGTGTTACCGGGTTAGTAACTACCACTTAAAGACACAGTTTGCACGATAAACTGAATACCCCGTAAGACTTTTACTGTACCATTTGACAATGTTTATCAACAAAGTAATTTGCCGAGTTCGGGTTTGATCTATCACTGATCACCGTCGACCTGGTTGACTAACATTCTTGCATCTCGACAATTTGATTAGGTGACTATTCTGTTCGGAATCACTGCTTGATCTCGTCATCTTCAACATGTTTACAAATGCATTTCAGTGATGCTGAAGAGATAAAACCGCTATATACCTTCAGTCAAAACAAGTCCATTTGTGTAAGAACCGTTGAATTATGTTTGGCCGTTTTTCTTCATCTATTTTTCACCCACACATCCTTGTCACCGATTCCACTGAGCAAAAACGATCTAACCATGTATACGTAATTCTCATTCAACTGTAAAAACCACGCTGTTTAGAGCCACACCACGCCAGAAACCACTTGGACAATTTCACGTTGTTGTCCTTACTGTCCTCTACCCGACCTTCATCCACCAACCCGGAAAGTCAAACGAATAATCGGTCTACAGTAGCACTCGGCTCCTGTTCTCTCTTTCTCTCTTGACAACATTGATTAGCCTAGGGACACGTGATACCGAGTTGACAACCTAAGTGAGACAGCAATGACTACAATGGCATCGAAAGGGGTGGATGTTTGAGAGATCGTTCTGCCTCGATGACAGTTGTGCGTCGATGATATTGTCTGCCGTTCAATGAAATATCCGCGCACTACAACGCCCTGCGTGTGTGTATGCGTGTGTGTGTGTGTGTGTGTGTGTGTGTGTGTGTGTGTGTGATCAATACCGGTTAACTGTGTACCAGCGAAGAACTGTGTTGAGCGGAGTATTTGTATGTGAACGAAAGCAGAACGCTTCCTCGTATGGGTTTTGGTCGCACAACCGGGCCCCATTCCCCATGTCATTAGCTTCATCTGTTTAACCGAAGGATTATTTGTGATCGTGAAGACGACAACTCCCCGAGCTTGGTGTGACACTATCATCACTGGAACACTATACGTCAGCGGCTATTGGAAAATAGGATTCAAGAGATTACAACAAGAGATGTACCCTACTTGTTGTTGTTGTTGTTCATTCGGCCCGCTCGAGGACAAGCAATACCCCGAACGTGAAATGAAAACGACACTTGGTGCAAATAAATACTACTACTTGTAAAATGAATAAACGGATGGATGAGTTGATAATGTCTAGCAGGAGTTGTTCGTATTGATGTGTTACATTCGAAGACTCAGTCATGGTGAGAACACAAGTTAACAAACCAGTTGGTTCTCGGTGCGCGCTATCAACTGACTGAATACAGCTGTATGTCGACCGCAACTTCCATTCGAAAGGGTTTGCCAGGGTAGATGTACAGTATCACTTGACCATATTGGCTCACAGGATGGCAACGTGATGTGCTAGTGTTATGCGAACACACTCCGGGCTCTCGCAGCGCAGCGGAGTGAACGGAGATGCGCAACAGGGCGTCCCTCGGCCCGCATTCTCGCAGCGGGAGACGGTACGAGGCTTTGCGGGCGACGAACAACGGCGGGAAACGGCGATGGGGATGCGGGACACAAGTTGGCGAGGAAACACTGGCCGACAGGTCTGTTCCGTGGGTCGGAGATGANGCAAGGCAAAACAAACAAAACGCCACGAACCAAAAAGGTGCAGTGAGATACAAGCACTCACGATAAAGTATCACTGGTCCAATTGCCAAACGTCACACTAGCATTCGGTTTAAACAATAGACTTCAATCAAAGAAGACAATCACAATACATTTTAACTAAACACACGATAAGAAGCTAATGATAGGTGAAAAAAAGACAGTTCGTATACAGTGAGTATATGTGTGAATGAGTGAGTGAGTGAGTGAGTGAGTGAGTGAGTGAGT